ACTTTGACAGAAGATGAGAGGAAAATCTTGCAGTAGAGGCAGATGTCTCCTTCTACATATGATTATTATTAAAAAGGATACCTGTAACTTGATTAATTTAGTAGATTTAAAAGCAATAATAACAATCTCACATTCAATAAACAATTTTGAAAAAACTTTCTTTGAATGTGGTTTAATAAAATTTTCAAAATAAAACCAAAATTGTTAAACAATAATTTTAAAGATAATTAAATTATGAAATAATGGCAAGAATAACAARCAGTCAACCGTGTTTTGTATTTTCAAAAAAAAAAGTTAAAACTAACTTATAGGTTGTAATTTTAAAAATTAAAGTCATTTAATATTCAATTTTTTGAACTTTTTATAATGTATAATGTATTATAGCATAATATTCTACATAATAGGCTACATCCCAGTGGCATTATTTTCAAGACACAAAAACATTCTTTTGATCCTGTGGTCAAATGTGGCTATGCTAACATAACATATTCTGTACTAAGATCAGTGGCARTTTGTGTTAGTGTACATGATCACATGAACTACCCAAAAGTAAAAAAATATTAAATTTCTTTAGCAAACTATGACTAGATATTATGCACATTGTCTGTAATATAGGTATACATTTTTTTATTAAAAAAGAAAAAGTGTTTAGCAGTTTTTCATATTGATGATAGATGAGTATATTTTTTAAAGTTTAAATAATTACAAACATAAGAATAAAAATTTGTGCTCACCAGATATAAATATCTACATGCATCAAAATATTGCAAATAAGACATAGTCTTTTGAACATATTATTGAGGTTTGCTGCAACACGTAAATTCCTGAAGCCACCRCCATTATATTAACTGCTACCACCACAGTGGAGCACAGTACTGTTATATCCAAGTTAATTATTGTCATTAATATATAAATAATAATAAAATAATATGTTAATAATAAATAATTTGAACTTAAAAAGCTTTTAATAATTAAATATAAGTACATTATTTTGGGTAGTGCAATGTGCTCAGCAGTATGTATAACAATTTTTTTTACCAGTCTACATATTAAGCAACTTATAAAGTTGTTTGTGCACCACCTTAGTGAATCTTAGAATCCACCACTGACAAAGATACAGCTTTATTTGAAATTAAAAAACTCTAATTACCAAGTAACTCTAATTGGTATCCATAGAAACTAATGAAATAAAATAAGAATTAAAAAAAAAAGTATAATTACTAGTTTCAGATTTAGAAGAATTTTGATTTTTTTCATATTCATTTTTAAGAGTATTATAATTTTCTTCTAAGCTTTCATATTTTTGTTTCCAATACATTTCTTGTATCTGCATAGGGTTATCACCTGGTTGAGAAATTAACTAAAAAATGTAATTTAAATTTAAAATTATTCACTAAAATTCTCCAATTTAACGAATTTCACAATTAACTTACGTGATATAATAATTTATTTTTATGAACAGAATTACAGTTATCTATATCATGTTCATCCATGTACATTTTAGAATTCTAAAATAATAAAAAAAATACTTTATATTAATTTATAAAAGGAATAGGTAGGTAATAGAATTTTAAAATATACTTTACTTTTAATTTATCCTCAAAACTTGAAGTAATTTCTTTTAATTGAGTTTGAAGTTGAAAGATTTCTGATTTTAAACTATCAAMATGCTCATTTTCGGGCAAACTTGTAAAAGTGCAAGAGTTAAGCTTATGTCGACGGAAACAATGATATTTTAAATAAGACACATCTATAAACATCTTTCCACACAACTCACAAAGTGCCATTGAATCTACCTAAATAAATAAGTATTAAAATGAGAGGATGCTACACTTGCATGTGTTGTCTACGTCTTATTAATGGCAAAACTTAGCAAACTTRGCAAAAAACTTTATAAGACGGAGACAACACTTGTGGCGTTCTCTTAATAGTTATTATTGTAAATACTCTTAAAATTGAGACAATATACTATACATACTTTGTCATTGAACTTAAAAATTGAATGCTTTTTATAATGCAATAAAAAATCTATGATCAATTGTGAAAGACGGAATATTTTCTTAGATGCACTCATTTTCTCAATATTATAACTAAGAACACTGGCTACAAGCATTGACAGACTCTTTACATCAGCTTTTTCAACCACATCATTAACATTGAATTCTTCTACACAAGTCAATCCACAGAAAAAAATTTGAAACAATAGTATGATACTATATGCAGTAATAAAAGTATGATTTACCCAAATATTCCCAATCCACAGATCCAATGTATTGATTAAATCGAAACCCAGTGCTAATCGCTATAAGTTCAAAATCCGAAGTAACTAGTTGCAAAAAATCATCCATAGTCAAGTTTTAAAAAGTATAATACTCGTACCTATAATAAAGGTATATTAATTATAAATTGGTAACTCGTTAACTATTCAAATAATTTGATTTTATAAGATTGGTAGATATGAAAACATATTAAACAAACAATCGTGATATCAATATACATAGGTAAAGAGATTTCAACAGATCGTGTATTTATAATAATTAATTATTGACAAATTGAAAACGATATATTAACTCAACGTCTTTTGGACTAGAAATCTCAGCTCACAGTAAGTTAATCATTAATTATTGACATAGAGTAATATTGTAAATTCTCAGACTTGACGAATCGCCAATTATGAAGTACCTAATATTATACAACAAAATATAATAAATAATAATTTAAATTTAATACTGAAAATTTGAAATATA